AGAATTTGTAGGATCATGAGGTCATATTGTAGTGGTTCTCTCAATATGCAGGTGTTGACGAACATTTGGTGGAGAAAATTCTTGACCCAACAGTTCTTGATGGCATAGCTTCAACGTTCAATGATCTCCAAGGAATTCTCAAGAATGCAGGAACTCAGACAACTGCATGGGTTGGTGAAGCTGGAGGGGCTTACAATAGTGGCCACAATCTCATCAGTAATGCATTTGTGTTCAGTTTCTGGTAAATTAGAACTCCCAGAGAATGTCTATTTTCAGAAAAATAAAAATAAATTTGGTTTTGATAAGGAGTTGGTTATNGCTCGGCATGTCAGCATTATATGATACAAAGACATATTGTAGACAGAGTTTGATCGGTGGAAACTATGGTCTCCTGAATACAACCACATTCAAACCAAATCCTGATTATTACAGGTAAAGGTGGTACTTAACTCATAATTATTTAAGCTTATAGAGAAGCTAATTCCAAGTTGGGTTTGCCTCTTTCTTCTTGCACATTATGAAGCTTCGTTTCTATGGTTTGCAAGTTTATTTCATTACCATGGTCTCCACTTTATCATTAATCAAATGTGGTCTGGTTTTTATTTCATTCCATATAATGACAAAATTTCCAAATATTTGAATAAACGTGTCACAAACTAAGAACATCAAGACACTTAACAAACTTTCTGTGAGTAAACAGGGCAAGATGTTTAGAAGTTTATTAACTAGAGAAAATAGGTACAAAATATACCAACAGAATCTGAGTTAAAATACTTGGTTTGCCTTTGACATTTATTCCTATTGCTGCAGTGCTCTCCTTTGGCATCGGTTAATGGGTAAAACTGTATTATCAACAAATTTCAATGGGACCAACAAAATACGTGCATATGCACACTGCGCAAAAGAATCTGTAAGCTAAAAATCATCATTGCGCCTCTCTTTTGATTTGCCTTCACACTGACTCATGTAGTTTTATTTCTCAGCAAGGAATTACACTTGTCCTGATCAATCTTGATGGTAACACAACAACTGAAGTGACTGTTACAAGCAAGTCTTCCTTTGTTAGATCTCTGAAGCATCACAATAGAGGTTCGAAAACAAAGCTCAGGGGATTCACTAGGGAAGAGTACCACCTCACATCGCCCGATAATGACTTGCATAGTCAGATAATGCTTCTGAATGGTAAACCTTTGGCTGTTGATTATAAAGGTGACATCCCAGAACTTGAACCGATGAAGGTTGATGCAACGGAACCTCTAAAAGTCGCGCCATTTTCTATTGTGTTTGTGAAAATTCCGTACTTTTATGCGCCTGCTTGCAGATAGGCTTTTAGAGTTGGGTTTAATTTGGTTTGACCGTGTGTTGATTGTGGATGGACTGCAAAGTAGTCTATCTGATGAGGATGATAGCCGTAAGGCTGATAGAAAGCTGATAGAAATGTGATTTATTTTTCAAAGCGTTTGATTGAATAATGAATGAAAAGAGAATGAGAAGAATTTATATTTAAAAACGGCGTGGATGAAAAGTGTATCTTGTTGCTTCCTTATTGTTGTAGAAGTAAAATATTATGAAGATGCACATGCTGCATGCATCCATCTCTACATATAGACATTAAATGCATATATTCATATGTAAAATTATGGCGCTGATACCGTTCAAAGTACCTTGTACTATACATAATCTGAAGTTGTGAAGTTGCGAAGGTTGAAGATTATAATTTACGGGTTAATTCACAAAAAACCCCTGAACTTTGGGGGTATTTTGCACATAAACACCCATTTTTTGAACACCCCAAAGTTCAGCAGGATATGAGGATAAGAAAAAGTTCGAGGGTTGCAAGACCCCAAAGTGGGGTGGGGGGGGGGGGGTGTGGTTTAAACCCTAATGTTAACACCCCTCCATCCTAATCCCTTTTGTACGTAGTGTTGCCTCACACCATGATTTGTTAATCCGAATTCTATCAATGCTAAACTCCAAAGTCAACTAGGACACCTAGAAAAATACCCACAAAACTGACAAAAGACCTTCATGACTCTCTCAGCCGCTAGCTATCTGTGGTCCTATATGTTGGGACAAACCCGGGGCCCAATAGAGCAGAGTCGCAGCAATAGTAGAGCAAAAATAGAGATAAAATATTGGACACACAGATTTACGTGGTTCGGCACTTGATTGCCTACGTCCACGGGCAAGGATAGAAGAATCCACTATAAGGAGAAAAACTCTGGAGTTACAAACTCTCTCTCTTTTCAAGGAGAAACTCTATCTATTTTTTCTCTCTCACTCTTCTATATAAGAAGTTGTTTCTGGGATGAGATTTCCTTAAGGATTTGGAACCCTATTTATAGTTTTTTGAAAAACACTATGCACAGTAAAATATTAATATTTTACTGTAGCAGTTGGCCCCACCATTTTGTTTTCTTTTTCCTTTGTCAAAAGGTGGGTGCTCTTGTCAAAAATGTGAGGCTGCTTTCGGTGATGGTAGGCGCATGACAATCTCCCACTTGAAGATTTGATTGAATATCAATCATATCTCCACACCATTCTTTCTATCTTGCCATCTTCATGTTGCTTACGTCTCTGACAGACCACAAGAGGATCGACACCAAGTAAATTTGTCGGTATGGACTGCTTTTGTCAAAAAATCTGCTAGGTTGTCATTGGTGTGAATTTTCTGCATATCCACTGTTCCTTCTTCTACTTTCTCACGAACGAAGTGATACTGAACTCGAATGTGCTTGGTCTTTGAATAAAAGGTTGGATTTCTTGCCAAATGCAAAGCACTATGACTGTCACAAAATAGAGAAATCTTCTTTTGTTCATAGCCGAGTTCCTCCAGCACCATCTTCAACCACATCGCTTCTTTACTAGCTTGTGTAGCTGCTACATACTCTGCTTCTGTTGTTGAAGTAGCCACAACTGACTGCAGTTTTGAAACCCAGCTTACAGCTCCGCCAGCAAGTGCAAACACATAACCTGTGGTGGATTTGCTATTATCACGATCACCTGCATAATCAGAATCAACATATCCACTGACAATAAAATCAGATCCCCCATAACGTAATGCAACATTTGAGGTTCCTTGAATGTATCTTAGTGTTTGCGTCGAAAATTGTCGTATTCATTACGGTATTCATTACAACTTCGATCGTTACAATGAAAACAAAAAAAAAGATTGTCTTTTTATAAGACTTTTACACAATAAAAATAAAAGTTTACAACTCTCATCAAAACAAACGCAGAGGACGTTTATCACCCGCTGCTTGCGTGTGATCTTTGCCTGTGCCGGGGTTTATCCGTGGACCGCCTTTGATCTGGATCCGGTTGATGAAAAATTTGGCAGAGCTTCGTCTTCGCCGAGGAAGTATTTGATTTGAAGCGCTGAGATCGACCAAGCGAAATCAGGGCTCTTCTCGAGATTAAGACCAAGCCTAATCTCAAGGGACGGACGGGAACGGGCGTTGGATCTCTCGAACTCTCCTTCTTTATGCCGAAAAACTCGCCAAGATCTGTCAACCCTCGCTGAAATTCGTGCTCCTTTGACACCACAATCCGGCAGCACCTCCTCGTCTTGATAATCAATCGCCCCCCCCGCTGAAAGGAGACCATAGGTTTGTATTTATAAGGCTTCGGAAGCGGTTATTTGGATGAGAACAAGTAATTTGGCTCTATCTTCAGTTAACAACAGCCTAACCACGTTTGGAGATGATATCAGGTCAGTTAGAAACCCCTGAAACAGATAAATCCTGCAAAAACAGCATAAAAACCGTCAAAATACGTTTTGGGTTCCGTACTGCGCTTGCGCGGGTCGGTTTGTTCCGTCCTGCGTTCGCGCAGTTTTGTCAACTTTTTCCTTTTATGTTCTCTTTCTTCCGAGACTTGTTCTTTTTGCGTGTTTGGTCGATTTGTTGACTTGTATGCTTCGCCGCGAGACCGACCGTCGAACGCGCGTTGCTTGTTGATCGATACGCGCGGACTGATCGGTGTGCGCGTGTTGACCGACGCTTCTGAGACTTGTTCTTTTCGCGTGTTTGGTCGATTTGTTGACTTGTATGCTTCGCCGCGAGACCGATCGTCGAACGCGCGTTTCTTGTTGATCGATACGCGTTGACTGATCGGCGTGCACGTGTTTGTTAGGAATCTTGACCCCAAGATTAGTTTGTTTTGATGATAACAAATATTATATGTTATGTGTATT